GGTATCATAGCTTGAATTTTCAAATGGTGCCTAAGAAAGGAAGGAGTTTAAATACTCATGTAGTAGGTACCCAAATGCTTCCAGTTGCCTTGAAAATCCCACTTAATGGCTCTTTACATTTTCCTACTAGGGTCAATAAAGTCTTTAGAGGTCAATCGATAATAACAGCACATCTTGTATGTTAAGGGATCTTAATCACCATGTCTTTTGTGACTGTAATAAAAAACAAACAAACAAAAACCTTCTAAAATATCCCCCCTTGCATTTGAAAATGCAGTCCACCCCTCATTTAGGTCAGGGGTAGCTAGCTCTCAGCATGCACCAGAACAGAGAAGTAACAAGCAACACAGCAGCACATGGGGCAAGAAGCAGAGCAGCACATCAGGCAGAGAGCACAGCTCACCAACTTAATGCGTCCTCACTCAAGAGACATGCATTGGTAACACAGAAATATGTGAAAGATGCTGCCAGTTTCAGTCTGCTTGTGCAGCTTGAATGTAGACTGACTCTTATTGCTTAAAAAGCCATTGCACGTTTAAGGACAAATACCTAAATCAGTCAAGTCAGGGGCTTCCATGGATAGAAAGGCAAAGCAAAATTTGCCTTTCAGAAGTTGGAATAGGCAAAAATACAACTAAAAAGTAACACTGGAGAGGTGAGCTCCTCGGCTAAGAACAGACAATCAAAAAGCCCAAGGCTAAATCGAATCATTCTTCACAGGTTAGTCTAAGCTGCATAGGTTGAACCGATAAGCAAGTGAACAGATATTCACTTTCCATTCTGGAAATGCAGCCACATGCCTGCAGTTGCTCAGGCCAGAAGGTCGGGGGCGCTAGAGCATGCCCCCTGTTTGGCGGAGCAGACAGCCTGGACCAAGGCTAACCTGCCCACCCTGCAAGGCAGAGTTTGCAGGGGAGGTGCAAAGCATCCTGGAATGCTGGAGACTGTGAGTTAACTTGAATCTGGAGGGGACATGGGACAGAAGTTCAATAAACCAATTTAATCTAAATCAGTTAAATCTGATACTACCATCCATCCAAGTTGATCTTAAACTGGTTCCATCCATTTTGAAAGCAGCTTATGTGTACTGAACTTCTGTTGTGCTACAACTCTGAGCTGGTTTCCAATTACTTATGCCAGCTCATGTGTAACTTCTGCCCCTAACCCTCATGTACTGAATCAGACAGATTCTTATAGGCAACACTAATCACCCATACCCACTATCAGACAAGGGACTGCTGAACTAGGGGACATCATCACTGTGTACCTGTGCTCCCAGGCAGGCCGGGGAGGGGGGGGCTGAGATGGAAAGGGGGAATGAAGTATAATTAGGAAAAAATTCCAGGATGGGATAAATATTGATTATTAGTTCATGAATTACAGTTGCAAATCTACAGGTAAGAGGGCCTGTTTGGACACTAACCAAGAAGCAGCAGCACATAATCTTTAACTCTCTGTAAACACTTCAAATCTAGCAAAATAGGGCCACTTATTCATTTTTTAAAATATAAACTCAAATTTACTTGCTCATGGAGTTCTGACACACTACATTAACATTCTAATCAGAACAATAGTTATTCAATGGTTCAAGTTAACAACGTGGCACACAAAACTTCTTGTAATGGCGTTTGTCCTGAAACCCAGAACTTGAAAGTAAACCTAGTGAACAAAGGAGCTTGCAGAAAGGGGATGTAAAAATTGCAGCACAGAAATAAAAAGAAAAAAAAAAAAAGTCTCTTTTCCTAGAATTTCTCTGAAAACTTTTGGTGTTCTGTCTGCAGTACAGAAGACAAATACTGCAAATTACTGTTACACTAAATAGAAGAATATCACATATTCCGATTTCAAGTTCAAAACATGTCATCAAATCTGGTGTTACAGGGTAATAATCTCTCATAACATAAGTGCCTAAAAAATGTCACAACATGCATATTCTCAAATTTTGCATATAATGGAGATTCTCTTATCCTTCCGAATTTCTGTCTCCAGGTCCTGTCAGTCTTTAGCTATTCTCATTCCTTAATCACATGTCCTGGCATGATCCTCATTCCCTTCAGTATTTCCTCATCCTCCTCTGGGAAATTTGCCAGTTTCTGTCATCTGTCCCCATCCTCCTTTGGGAACACTAAGGCAAAGAATTAATTTCAGTTTTTCCCAAGCAATGCCTACCTCTTGTATAAGCAGAAAGGCGTGTATATCTTTTATCAATTCTCTCTTATTCCTTATGTGCTAACAAAAAGCCCTGTTGGACAATATTCCTTTTATGCTCCACATTTTCTGGCATTATTGTAAGTACACTATCCCTTAAATTAATTATGTAATATCCCTAGTTGGCATTACATTATTACCCTGCATTTTTTTTTTTACTGTACAGTGTTGTTGTGTATACATGTAATGTAATGCTGAATGTGGGCCAAGTTGTATGAATTAGACAGCACATACATATTGGCCATATATGAATTCCCATTTTTTCCTCATGTGTTTCCCCATCTATTACTTTACCCTTTTTCATTTCATCCAACACTGGCTGCTGAATTCTTCCAACACTTACTTATTCTAAAGAAATGCCTGGGATGTTTTTCAATACTTTAGAAAACACAATCCAATATTACCTTTTTCTCCAACATGGGATTTCAACTAATAATATTTCTTCCCCCCAAGAATCATTGGTGTCTTGAGTCATCTGAATTCAAAACTATGAACTTAGTCTATCCACAGAAATCAACAGAAGCTCTACCACAGACTTAAATGGAAACAAGATCAGGCCCTGAGTCATGCAATGCTCTTTAAAATCTCCCGGCTAATAGCAAATCCATAAATGTATTAGTAGATATCCATTTAGATCTATAAAATTGTTACCTCCCATCAACTGAAATTTTCCCATTACACTTAGCTTACTCTGGACATAAAACTTCTTTATTTCGATTAACTCATTTCCTCCTTGGGGGTAGCCTGCAACATGCTGTTACTAGCAATTTCTATGCTGTTTATTGCTTGTGCAGTTGGTTACATCTCTGACTTCATGAACTAGGCTCTTTTGTTCTCTTCATTATGGACATGCCACAGATAATGTTACATTGTCTGTCAGCACCTGATGTTATTCTCAAGGTGCACCACAAGCAAAAACTATCTACAAATTATCCTTTTGATGTCTTTATCCAGGGAACTCCACATGTTCTCAGGGGCATGATGAGAGTTGAGCAGAGGGTGCATATTCTTGACCCCAGCTCATTCACACATTATACAGATGCCTTGCAACAACACTATTACAAGGAAAGATGAGAGATGGTAAATATATTTTCCCTACCCCTTTTTCCAAACATCTTCTACATACTTGCATTACTGGCCACTAGTAAATTATCAGAAACCAGGACCACAAAACACCCTGGGTAAGCAAGAAACAGTCACTTCCTTGGCTCTCAGTGAGAACTGGCAATAGTCCAACTAGACTCCAACTGGTTGGTTACAGCTTGCAGCTAATTCTGGTGCTGCCATTATCATTAACAAGAACAAACTGAACTGTACAGCTCTCGGGACTTAAAAGTAAGCAGTCTAACCTGCAAGCCAGGTGTTCTGGGCTTCTTGCTTTTTCCTCCCTCTTAACTGAAGCAATTCTAGTTCCCTGCTAGTCTACCAACTTCAGCTACAAAGGATGGTTCCTGAAACTACCAGAATACATTCCCTTCAAGGCAACAGGTAATATGCTGCTGCCATTGCACCTTTAAACCAGAAGGGGTTTCATGTCCAGTGTGAAAAAAGACAATCAACAAAATTATGTCAGAGGATCCCACTACGTATGGAGCAGAACACCAAAAGGGGGCTTGGAAGAGATTAGGGTACTGTAAAGGACAAATGGCTGGGAATGGAAAAGAAGAGGCAACTCTTTCTGGCAGCCCAAGCTTAACACAGAAGGATGAGCACCTAGAAAATGGGCGGGTGGGGAGCCTTGGAAAAGGGATGGCACCCCCCAGAGGGCAAATGAGTGACACCCCAGATGTGATGGTCAAAAACCCAAAAGGTCAGTCGCCCAAATTGTCTGCAGCTAACCCCTGGGATGAAAAAGGCAACAAATTCTTCGGAGAAGTGGGGGGTGTGCAGTACCAAGCACAAGAAAGTGCTCATCCTCTCTTAAGGCCTCAAGTCACAACGCACGTAGCAATAAAGGCCAAATAAAGAGCAATCCTTCTGAAAGAAAGCAAAAAAGGATCCCCTGGAATGACAGGGAAAATCCTGGCTCTGGAAGGGGCCAGAGAAGGGGCTGTCCCCTGGGTGAGAGGCTGTACACCCCTTGCAGATAAATCCCTGAGTAGAGGGTAAATTCTTGACCCTGGCAGAGGATATGCTTTTTTTCCATTTCAAGGGCCAAATCAGTTCCCAATTCGATTGGGCAAGGCCAAGAGTCAAGTTCCAAGTTTTGACTGAGCAGAGCTCAACCGTTCATGTCTCTGTGGCTCTACCACTGGGCAAGTATCCTCCTTCCCAGGCCCACTGGTTTGGTGCTTCTGGTACTGCCCAAATCTGTGGCAGGCATCCTATGTGCAAGCCCAGGGCCCAGAGACGCTGGGGTTCACGTGCCCCCTAGCCTCACCCGCTCCTAGCCCAAAGCCCCGGGCGGCAAGCCAGAAAGCAGTCCCCAAACTGTTGCAGTCCGGTTTCCTGCATGTGGGGAAACTCTCAGGGGTCAGGCTGCCCCAAGTGCAAGGGGCAGGCCTCCCCTGGGAACCCACCTTGGTGATCATGGGCTCTCCCCTGCCCCGCAAGTGTGACCAGGAGGCAAAACGTCGGGGGAAGGAGGAAGCCCCCGCACCTCCAGCCGCGGAGGGGAGCCGGGGAGAGTGAGGAGCGATACCCCTGGGGGATGGGGCTGGATCCCTCCACCTGGCAGGAAACCTGGCGTGAGAGAGCAGAGGAAGTGGAGGGCGAGGGTAACCCCTGGATGCCACGTAGGAGTGGCCAGGCCCCCTCCGGGCACTGCCCTAGGGACCGCCCGCTCCTCTCACCTGGCTCGCTTTGTGGAACTGCTTCTTCAGCCCCGCCACCGACATCCTTCCTCCGCGGCTGCGCCTGCCCCGGCAGCCCGTGCCACGGCGAACAATGGGCGGGTGCCGGCGCTGCCCAGGCCGAGCGGCCGCCTCGT